GGTCTGGGCTGCAGGCACAATTGGCCAGGTCTGTCTATCTGCATTAGAGTTCATCAGCCAGAGTGGTCTGTTGAGGCAGCCCCAGGATATTCTCATTTTTCCAAGTCCTCACAATACTAAGCAGCTTTCTATTTATTATAAACCAGTAGATAGGATCTGCGTGTTGGTTTACCTTGGACTGCAAGGTACCCCAGCGCCTGGTGAAAGTCAGTGTTATTGACAGAAAGAGACTGAGGTCCAGTGAAGAGACACTGAAAGGGGCCAACAAAATGGCAGAACTCTAGTTCTGCAAGTCACTCTGGGCCGTTCAGACCAGCGGGGATGCTGGGAAGATGCTTCAGCTTCTGTCTGTCAGGCTCTGAAGTTGGAGAGTTTCTGTTTCAGAGTCATCAACTAAGGTGGGTCAAGTAGGAGAAAATGCAAAAGCAGGACAGTGAAGACATAGAATGCATCCTCTGTAGTGTCTGTATCTGGCTTGGAACTAGGTTTTGATTATGTGTACTTGTGTGTTAGTTAGCTCTCCACTGCTGTGATGACATAGCACAGAAAATCAACTAAGGAGACTAGAGTTATTTCATTGGCTTAGAGTCTCACTTGGGACCAGCCGTTTCGGGCCTGTGGCAACAGAGAGAGCATGTGGCAGAGGACAGTGCTCACTTCATGGTAGCCAGGAATCAGAAAGACATAGAGGAAGGGTCAGTGTAGGAGTGAACCCCACAAAGCTATCTGCCCATTAGGGCGGGGTCAAGGTAGAGATAAAAGGAAATGAAAGGAAAAGGGGCTTCCCCTTTTTCTCCTGGAAGCCAGCCACGCTTCTAACTCCTGGTCTGTGCGACTCTCTCTCTCTCTCTCTCTCTCTCTCTCTCTCTCTCTCTCTCTCTCTCTCTCTCTCTCTCTCTCTCTCTCTCTCTCTCTCTCTCTCTCTCTCTCTCTCTCTCTCTGGTAAATAAATATATTGTTTTCCCTATATAGCATCGAATATCGTTATAGGTCAGGGTCACAATATCCCCTAACTTCCACTCATCAGTCTCTAGATTGTTCTAGGGACTGGGCACCAAGCCTTCCATACACCTTTGGAGAGTATACAAGATCTAAACTATAGGGCTGGGGAGATGGCTCAGTTGGTAAAGTGACTGCATCCCAAGAACAAAGACCTGAGTTCAATTCCCCAGAACCTACGTAAAAAGCCAGGCATGGCGACACATAATTAAAACTTCAGTGCTAGAAAGTAGGGTGGGTCCCTGGGGTTCTTGAACCATTCAGCGAGCCAAATCAGCAAGTTCTAAAATTTACTGAGAGACCCTGTCTCAAATAACCAAGATGGGCAGGGTCCTGAGGAATGACACCCAAGGTTGACCTCTGACCTCAACACACAGACATGTTCACACACACAAGATCCTGTTTCCACCGTTGGACTCAGATTTTCCTTCATCTACCTCAGAACCTCAAATGCAACAAACACCTACTATTAGTCCCATTGATGTCCCCCCAGAAACATGACAGCCTTAAGGCAGTAGTTGTCACACAGGGCCAATTTCCCTGCTTGTAGTCATAGAGCATTTGACAATGTCTGCAGACATTCCATTGCCACAGCTTTGCAGAGATATTCCCGGCCTCTAAACTAGAGAACCCGAGATGCTGCTAGAACCCATACACGGCTTAGAACTGCTACATCTGGTGCCCATGTCAACAGTGTCAAGGCTTAGAACTGCTACATCTGGTGCCCATGTCAACAGTGTCAAGGCTTAGAACTGCTACATCTGGTGCCCATGTCAACAGTGTCAAGGCTTAGAACTGCTACATCTGGTGCCCATGTCAACAGTGTCAAGGTTGGCCTGGGATGTGGCTCAGTTGGTAGAGTGCTTGCTAGCGGGCATGAAGTCCTGGGTTCCAATCCCCCCCCGCATAGCATACATTTGGCATGGTGGCACACACTCGTATTCAGAAGGCAGAAGCAGGAAGATCAGAGGTTCAAGATCATCCTTAATTATAGGGAATTGGAGGCTATCCTGGGCTACATGAAACTTATCTCAAAAAAGTTGTGTCAAAGCTAAGAAACCTTGTTTGAATCAAGAGCCAGAAGCTACAGAGGACTGCCATAAGGCAGTGTTTTTCTGACCTGCCAGGGCAATGGTACACACAAACTCACTGCAGCTGTGGTTGCCTAAACAAATCAAGCCAGTCAACATATCGGCATGGATGGGGAGGGACTTTCGAGATGCCACCTCTGGCTGAGGAGCTACAGGCAGGTAATCACTGATATGGAGATGGGGTCAGCTTTCTTCAAGGGTGTGAACCCTGGAAGGTTCCCCATGCTCCAGTGGATTTTCCACGGCACAAATTACACTCAGTGGGAGAGAGAGAGAGAGAGAGAGAGAGAGAGAGAGAGAGAGAGAGAGAGAGAGAGAGAGAGAGAGAGAGAGATAAATTTGGGAGGTAGGGATGGATCCGGGCAGAGTTAGGAGACTAAGTAAGGAAAGATATGATCAAAATACATTGATAAAATGTTATAATAAGAAACAACAGAACTAGTATGAAGAGTCTAATAATTTTAAAAAGGTGTTCAATATATGTGGGTATTTGCCTGAATGTATATCTGTGTACCATGCATGCCTGGTGGTTCTAATTTGTCTCATATTGACATTAAAACCAACCACACTAACCTGTGCTGGGAAGGGGAGATAGGAATGTCCCTGGGGCTTACCAACCAGCAAGCCCAGCTTACTTGGTGAGTCCCAGGCCAGTGAGAGACCTTGCCTCAAAAAACAAGGTGGACAGCACTTGAGGAATAAAAGCCAGAAGTTTCTCTCTGGACTCCTCATCCACACGCACACACCTGTACACATGCACACACCTGTACACACGCACACATCTGTACACACACACCTGTACACACACACCTGTACACACACACACTCACACACTCACTTATCTGCACAAACGACACTGTCCTGTGGACCCTGATGTCATCTCAACCATTCACCATCATTCACTGAGCACATGTCCATAGACTCCCTCCTACAGTGGGGCAGGTCCTACAGAAAAAACTGAACAAGACAAGTGCTCAAGCTTCAGCATGTGTCTGGTGGGACAGTGCTGGGAGAGCAGGTGTCATTGTCCCAGGTGGAAGCCCTCATGTACGGAGCAAGGCAGTGGAGAAGGCACTGTGCTCAGTTTCCTATGGAAAAACAAGCAAACAAAACAAAGGTGGCCTCTTCAGCAGTCATCAAAATTTTCAGTGTCTGCTTGCAAAGGACGCTCCCGAACCTCCCCTGAAGGAAGAGGCCAGGGAAGGATGTAGGAACAAGTGCTTCAGCCTCAACAGTCTCTTTGGACATCCCTCTGAGGGAAATCCAAAAGGAAGGAAGAAATTATCTTTACTATCTTTGACTTTCAAGATCCAATGCCTGACTCCCCAGAGTCAAACAAGCAAAAGGAAAACGTTGCGGAAGCTGGGAAACTGTCCAAACAAAGTAGGTCAATTCCACCCTCATTTATTAAAGGCGTTTTCTGCCACAAACCCTAAGAGATAGAATCGCAGGCCAGGATAAGCTCATACAATAACCAGAGGCCCATGTGAAGATTTCTAGAGATACACATGGTGCATATGTAAATGGCATGCAAATCCATAAAGGACCAAACAAACCTCAGGTCCTCTGTCTGTCTGTCTGTCTGTCTGTCTCTGTCTCTGTCTCTGTCTCTGTCTGTCTGTCTGTCTGTCTCTCTCTCTCTCTCTCTCTCTCTCTCTCTCACACACACACACACACACACAAACTTTTCGAAGTTAGGAATCTGGGCTCTAGTCCCAGCCCTGCTCCTGACATGAGGCTATGAAGCAAATCCCTCTCTGAGGGCTTTTGATCTTCTGTAAAATGAAGGACTTGAACATATTATACACAAGCAGCATTCCAAGGTGCAGTGAAGACTTGAACCAAGCAAAGCCTCAGTTTCCCCATCTGTTTATTCCTGAGATAACCCGGAGCATCCCTTTGAGACAAAAAATGAAAGTCGAGGCTGTTCCTGCAGCTCTGGAGGGGCACAGATGCCTCAGGAAACGGGAAACTAAGTCATTGACCTAGACGGGATCTATTCCCAGTGGTTTCTTAGGGCGCAGACCTCGGGCAGGGGTGGGGGGTGAGGGTGACACTCTCCAGAGCTTGTCGGGAGGAGTAACCCTGGAGTCCTCAGCCCGGCAGCCTTGACCTTCTCAGCTCTTTCCATCCTGACAGCCTCAATGCAGTCTGTCTCTCCAGATATCCCAGGGGAAGGCGCCCAAAGTTCCCAGGGTTTCTATGGGAAAGAAACACAAACCACCCTCTGGCTTCTCTCTGCTCCAACTTTCTTCTTCTCCTGCCCTGAGTTCGTTGCAACCCGCTGCTCCCAGGAGCCCACAGGCACAGACTTTAGAAAGACAGTCCCCCGGGGGTGGGGGGAGTAGACGACACACGGGACTGCAAATGGTCCCACCACAGACGCAAAAAAAGCTCTACTCAGGTTTCTAAAATTTCCCATCTGCAACCCGGAGCGTGTAAAACCGCCAGCTAGCCTGAAGAACGTGGGTTCTGACTTTTTTTTTTTTTCTGACGTGGGGTAAGCCTCTCCCGCCCTTTTCTGAGCCTTGGTCTCCTTGCTTGCAAAATCTGAGTGACCGGGGTCTCAAAAAGGGCAAAGGGGGTTTTAATGAAGCACTAGAGGGCATGCGTGCAGCATACTTAACATTGCCGGGGCTGCTGCAGAGTTATCTCCTGGAAAGAAGTGGGCTCAGCGGCCAGAAGGGATGAGTGAAGGGCGAGGGATCTGAGCCTAGATCTGCCTCACCTGGGACAAAGAGCCCAGGAAGTTTTGCCTTTGGAAAAGGGGACTCTGAAGTGGGCTCCGACAGAGTGAACGATGTCATTGTTAAGGGAGGCAACATCGGCTGCTCCCCATGATTCCTAGGACCCAGTAGAGGAACGCGGACTGGTGGCTCGGGTCCGCGTCCTGGAGGGGCGCGTACTCACAGTGTGTGCTGATCTGGCGAGTAGCAGCAGCAGCAGCAGCGACCGTGGCCCCCGCGATGGCAGCCAGAGGCTCATGGTGCCAGTCCAGTGCTCCTCCGATCCTTGTTCACCTTTGTGTTCTGGCCACTCGGGGACTCGGTGTCTATTTCGGCGACCCTCTCAACGTCGTACGTGGCGTCCAGGACCCTGGGCGGACCCCAGGCCCAGTGAAACCATGGCTGAACCTACCCAATCCCACCAGATCCACTGCCGCTCTCTGAAGGAGGTAACGAGAGTGCTCACCGGCTCGTGCCCATTGATAAGGACTGCTCAGGACTCCACCCGCTGGGAATAGCAGGGAGGGAATGGGGGAAGAGAGCTCAGGGCTGGCTGGGAGGAGAGAGGGGGAGGGACCCCAGTCATAGATCTGGAGGCAGCTGCAACCTCCCTTTTTCCCCTCCAAATCACAGTACTCTCTCCGAAGTCTAAGGATCTAAGCCGTGAGCAGAGACAAGGTAGGCAACACTTTTTTTTCTTTTTAATCCTCTATTGCCGATGGAGACAGAGTCTCACTATATAGCCCAGGCTGGCTTTGAACTCACAAACCTCCTGCCTCAGTTTTCCCAGTGTTGGGATTCCCACAGCTGGTCTAGGCTCTCTCTACTAACCAGTTAACTCTTCCCAGGCTGACGTTTAAGCAAACAGAAGTCCATGCCTACTGTGTCCTACAGGACAGTTTGAAGTAACATAAATCTCTTTTACTTAGTGTTCACTACTGCAATAAGCACAGCAGCTAATCCACACATAAAGAGAAAAGGGTCGGTTTGCTTTTGTAGTCTGGAGGGCTCTGGAGGGCCCATTCCTTTGAGCCTGTGCCAGATCAGCCCACTATGCTTGGAGTGTTGAGAGTGCATGCTGGGCTAACCTTACTGGCTAAAGAGGCCTGGGGACAAAGAGAAAGAAGTCAGGGTTCAGCACTCTCCTCTGAGGTTATGTCCCTTATGACCAAAGACTAGAAACCACCACTTTCCCTAACTTTCCCTAGTTCTACCCCAGGGACAAAGGCTCTAACTCAGGGGGCCCTTAAGCAACATTTGACACCCCAAACTCTGCAAAAGATACTCCTTTTTTTTTTTTGGTAGTCTCAGGCCCATCCTGGCCCCAAATTCATTTTGTAGCCAGGGATGACCTTGAACTTCTGACCATCCTGAATGCCAGGATTATGACCTACCATTGTCACCACACCCAAGTGTATATGGTGCACCCAGACAGCCCAGCAAAGGGTACTGCTTGGTGTGAGAGCCAGACTGTAGATACTGTGGTAGCCATTATGGGGAAATACTGAATTGTGCATTCTCCAAGCTCCAGTGTCACCCTCCCTGTGAAAGGGAGGAACCATTCTTTTATGTCAACAGCTTCTTAGTTCCTAATTCTAACCCAGTTCCCCAGTCATGCTATATAGCAAAGTGTTTCATCTAAACCAAAGTCCCAACCATCAGAGCCCCAGAAATTCAGTGTGTTTTCCCAACAGAGTCTTGCAGTTATCCTGAAGACAGGGGAGCCTGTTTTCCCCTGTGAGCCTGTGAGCCTGTGAGCCTGTGAGCCTGTGAGCCTGTGAGCCTGTGAGCCTGTGAGCCTGTGAGCCTGTGAGCCTGTGGGGAGGTTTGTATAGATCAGCAGTAGATGACATCTTCAATCACTTTCTCCTTCCTTTTTGAGGCAGGGTCTCTCAGTGAACCTGAAGCTCATTATTTGGCTATAGTGCTAGTAACTGAGCCCCAGGGGTCCTCCTATCTCAGGCTGCCCAATGTTGGGTAACATGTGTAGCCCACCGGGTCCCACTTTTTATAAGGTCTCATGCTTGCACAGCAAGCAGCTCATAGACTGAGCCATCTCCCCAGCCCATTTGCAGACACACGTAGAACCTCACTGAGGCAGGTTGAAAGGGTAAACACAGCGCTCAGGAAACAAAAAAATTTAACGAAAACTTTACCTAGTGCCCAAAGGGAAAGAAATCTTTCCTCCTCTCCCTTTTCCTTCAGCATGTCCTTTAAAATACTTTGTCCCCCTGCAGTACATACAGATCCTTAAAGGTCTAAACAAGCCTCTTGACCAACTCCTAGCACTTACTTTTTAAGAGAGCGTCTCTAGCCCAGATTTACCTTTAATTCCTATGATATAGCTGAGGATAGCCTTGAAGGTCTGGTCTTCCTACCTCCACGTCCCCAGTGCTGCGATTACAGACATGTCCACCACACCCGGTTTTATGTGGTGCTGGACCAAACCTGGGGTTTGTGGATGTTAGGCAGGCACTGGTCTGGAGCTTGGTTCTTGCATGGAGCTTCCTACTTGTCCAAATGGGTTGAGGAGTTAGTTCCCTCTTTTGTTTGGCTAAACACAATCATGTGTGCACAAATGAGCATCTTTCCTGATGGTACCAAAGAGTGTTGCTTTTGTAGAGAGCTGGTTACGGCACAGTCAGTCCGACTTGATGCTGACTGAAAATGTATCAGTCACTTTTTTTATTGCAAGCATGAGACCTTATAAAAAGTGGGGCCCATTGGGCTACGCATGTTACCCAACATTGGGCAACTTAGGGCAAAAGAGTTTAGCTTGGCTCATGGTCTGAGGGTACAGTCCATCACGGTAGGAAAGACATGGAGGCAGGATCACGAGACGGCAGGTCACATGGCATCCATGGTCAGGGAACAGAGAGATGAACTCACTTTCTCCTTTTTACCCAGTCCCGGACCCCAGCCCATGGGATGGTGCTGCCCACATTCAGGCTGATCCTCCTGTCTCAGTTAACCTAATTTCCCTCGCAGACATGCCCAGAGGTTTGTCTCCATGGAAATTCTAGAGCCTGCCAAGGTGATAACATTAACCATCACACCGAATTAGAAAATTGTCTCATTTTCTTCACTTTGTAACGAGGATTTGCCAAGCTGGCTGGAGACCCTTTTAAAAAATATTTCTCCAGTTACATCTTATCATTGTTTTTGTTTTGTTTTGTTTCCTCACAGCAAGGAAAAGACTTAGTAGAGAATTTACATTATTTGACAAATATTTACTGAGCACCTGCTCTGCTCCAGGTGCTACATTAGGGTGATGGAGGACTGAGGAAATTACCTTTGCCAACCTCAGTCCCATATAGAGAGACTAATGTGTTCTGACTGCACCCACTCCAGGAGGCTAAAAAGACAAACCGAGGCTGCCATGTATTTGAGAGTCCTGCATCACCACAAATGTTGGTTAGCAGACACAAGCAACTGTAGAATGCAGAGTGGGAATTTTTTTAAGACTTTAGTAAACGCTATGCAAAGTATGTAGCGATGCTATGAAGATGGTTCCCCTGGTAAAGTGATTGTAAGATAAGCATGAAGACCTGAGTTTGACCCCCCAGCACCCACATAAAAAGCCAGGCTTGGTGGTATATATCTGTGATCCTAGTTCAGGAGAGGTGGAGATGAGCAGGTGAGAGGCTTGCTGGTCAGCCAGTCTAGCTTTATCTGTGAGCCTTGGGTTGCAGTAAGAGACCTTGTTTCTAAATGAATAAATAATCAAGGTGTATGGTTTCTGAAGAATATGACTCCTGAGACTGACTTCTGGACTTCACATACATCACACATGTGCTCACATGCCTATACAATGTACACACACACACACACACACAGAGAGAGAGAGAGAGAGAGAGAGAGAGAGAGAGAGAATGAGAATGAGAATGAGAATGAGAATGAGAAGAGAATGAGAATGAGAATGAGAATGAGAATGAGAATGAGAATGAGAATGTAGGAAGGTATCAGACAATCAAGCCTGGTGGATTTGTACATTTGCTAAGCCCTACCTGTCCCACCAAGCACATCTGAATATCCTTATTTTACAAGGGTCAAGCCTGCAGCTATGTATAGTTTGGCCAGTCAGCCCCCATTCTTCCTTTTAATTACACAAACTTTTCTCATCCATTTTCAGACCATGGACCTTGTTGGGGCTTTCAGGAAGAGCAGCCCAAGAGTTATCACATGACCCAACAGGGGAGTGGCGTCAGCATCCTTCAATCAAGTAAGCGGTGACTGGTTCTGAGACTGGCATGGGACTCATTCTCATCAAGAGGAGTGACACCAACACATCCTATATATTGACATCACGATCAAACTAATAGCAGGATGGCAGTCTTTTCCAGAGCATGGGGACATTCTCATTGAGAATGAAACCAGCCAGAGTGGAAAGAACCAGTGATGGAGAGAAGAATGACCCAGTATCTTCTCTCCTTGCCCGCCTGCTCTTGCTTTCACTGAGAAGTCCATTCCTTCATGGGCATTAGAGCCTACTTCTTCAGGATTCTGGTGTATGTTGTAGACCAGTTGAGACATCAAACCTTAGGAATTGAGCAACTACTGGATTCTTGGACCTTCTATTGGTAAACAGCCATTGTTGGACTAGCTGGACCACAGCCTGTAAGCCATTCTAATAAATCTCCTATATAGATGATTGATAGATAGATAGATGTATGATAAGGTAGAAAGATAGATGATAAATAGATTTATGATAAGATGATAGATACATGTATGATAAGATAGATGATAGACAGACAGATAGATAGATGGATGGATGGATTCATTCTATAAATTCTGTTCTTCTAGAGAACCCTGACTAATACACTTGCCTTCTAGCAAGGCTTCCCTGAGAAAGTAATATTTGAGACTTCTGGGAGGACATAATGGAGAAAGGAGGAAGACATCGGCTGCTCCAGGTGTCTAAATCTAAGGTCTCCATCAGAGGCATGGAATCAACTACTCGGAAAGACCTGTGCTCTGGACGGCAGCATTACTGAGAGCAGAACTAATGTTTGATTGATGAGCCGTAAATAATGGGTGAGAGTGGTTTCCTATTGAGCACTGAGCTACAAAGGTTTAACATTCACATTTTAATGAGGTTTTTATGGTCCAGCCTCTGTGTTTGCTTTCTAGAAATACAGACTGCTTTCTCTGGGAGGCGGTTTCTTCTTTACTTTTTGTATTTTCCTCCACCACTTGTCAGCATTCTTTTGAATATTTATATGAAATATGAGAGTTAAAGCAGAGCAAATAAAAGAGCAAATAAAACCACACCTGAAAGAGTGTTATTAGTGCTTTCAAGGCCTTATCTTCG